TATCATCTGCAACCACTGCAGAAGAATGTTGTCACGTATTATCATCACTACCCATCAACTTCAGCCCCAAATCCACTTCCATTAGTGCAGTCACAGGTGCCAACTACTGGAAGTGGTCCTGCAATGGGGACCATTCCTCTTTCTTATTCCTATCCTTGTACAGAGGCACCTTCAACAACTTATGTTTGACTTAAAAATTGATGAAGAAAAAACTTTGGATTTGTGGTATACTAGTGAATGAATTCCTGGTAAGTACACTGCTACATATTGTTTACTTAGATTCAAACCATTCTCCAAGGTGCGGATTTTGCATTAGATATGCAGTTAGTTTGTCTTATTAGTTTGATATATTGTAAATCTCCTAAATCCTGGCTAAGCAAGCACTTAGGTAGAAACCTTTATGGCTTCCAATAAATCCCTGCATTTGACATCACAATAGGTGGGGAGACCATGTTTTTTGCACAAATTAGTATTTTAGTTTAAATGTTTTGCTATATTGCTATCTGTTCCCTTATTTTTTTCTTGAACTGGCATTTTCTAATTTGAGAATCATTGTAATCATCTGGTACAGGTTGGATCTTGACCTAGACTCACCTACTCTATACCAATTTACTTGCTAAAGGATGATATCTTCCACTTCTGGTACCCCACTTCCTTTGCCATGTCAAGGCTCTACTGTTATACTTGTCAAGAATTTTGAGTGGATTTTCATTGACATGAAATCAAATGACATATACTCACCCAATGAGGGGTCTTTTGTAAGGAGTAGATGTATTAGATGATGGTGCCTTGAAAAGAAAACAACATCGTCCAGCTTAGTGGTTGACCTCTTGACCTTTGTGCTTGACTTCATGACATATTTTGGAACTTAAAATGACATTTTCATTTTTTCATTGTTTATATTTGGGGATTCTTTGGGAAGGGGGATTGGGATTGGGTGGGGTGGGGATTAGTTGAATTGAACCTTGATCTATTGGGTATAATAGTCAATTAGTTCTCCTGTTTTTTTGAAATCCCAATATTTCCATCACAAGGTTCAAATTTTCTTTTGAGTTGGAAGTCTGAGGTCCAAACTGTTGTGATGTTAATTAAAAGTATTAGTGAATATTTAATAGTTATATACTTTCTAAAGAGTCTATCAAAATGATAGGTGGCCAACTCACAATGCACGTTAGAACTACATGGATATGGGGTCTACTAATAATGCTATACTTTTAAGGAGTTAACATGTGACCTCTATGTACTCTTTCCATTGGACATTACTTTTGATTTGGTCTGCCATGCCTGGGATGTCCTTGTCTTTCTGTTCTTTGCTGTTAATTAATTACTTTAACCTTAATTAGATGCCAATCATGGAATGAGTAGTATACCGAAAAGACATGCTGCCATACTAATTTAATTTACATGTTTATAGGTTGTATGGACATTTCTTCAAACTCAACGAATCATTATGTCTTAAGGTGAATTTGATATGAGAAAGTTGGCATTGTTCTGACTTCTGATATGGTGGTCCAATGGTTATACGTATGAACAAAGACAGCATATAGAGGCAGGCACGTAGCATGAGCATCATCATATTTTATTTGCATATCATCTCTATTTTAAAATTATTTAATTGACCCATTTGAATACTATATATCAGTGATCAAATTCAGATTTGCTGTCTCCAATTGTTACTCATATGGTTTTGTTAAATTCTAATATGAAATTGATGTTTAAAAAGTTAAAAGAGAGTAATATTCAATACGTGGTAGTCAACTTGTAGGAATGGATTTTTGTGTTTTTAATCTTGTATTGTATAATAAGAGGTAATTTTTTTTATTACTTAATTTTACTTCATTTGTATATT